GCCATCATAGCTGCGTCGGTAGTAAGTGAATGTGCCACTTCTTAATGTATGGCTCGAATTGTCAGACACATGAACAACACTCCCCATCTCTTTTTTGTTCTTCTACCCACAGTAGCATATAAGGGACCATAATAATCTATGCCGGTGTATGTGAATGGTTTAATGTCCAGAGTCAGTCTAAACTTAGGTAGCTGTCCCATCTTCTGTATATGGGGTCTAATTTTCTTGGTTTTACACCACTGGCAGTTTGAAAATACACTCTTGACTGAAGCTCTGAGATGTATTATCCAAAAACGTTGTCTGATTTCATTTACCACAGTCTCTGAACCCTGATGTGCAAACTGTTCATGATACTTTTGAATAAGTAACATGATGGTATATCTGTGTTTCAATGATAAGATAATTGGAATTCTTGTCAGTGTCACAGTTTCTGATGCCAAGTTCAATCACAAGAATACCTGTTGCATCAAGTTTCGGTGAGAGCTCCCATATCCTACTTGGTTTTGACACTAGTTTTTCCTTCTTCAAACAGTTTATTTCTTCTGCAAAACTTTCTAATTGACACTGTCTGATCCATCTTGTTTCAGCTTCTTTTAAATCTTGTACTGTCAACTCTCCTGATTGACTTTTTGTTTGGAGTATACAGTATACTAATAAATTTAAAAACTCTTGCTGTTGCACCTATTAAACAAAGCCGTTTTGAAAAATGTTCTATGTTAGGTAAAAACTGACATGTTACCACAGTTAATCCCAAAAATGTTGGTTGTAATTCTCGTGTGACTTCAGACACCAAATTTTCATCAAATATGTCTTTTTTAGGACATAACAATTCGTCATTTTCTTTGAGAAAATCAGGACCTGAGTGCCATGTTTTGAAATCCGTTATAACTGTACTTTGTGTCTCGTAGGTTCTTGTTGCAAGGTCAGCTGGATTTAATTTAGAAGGTACCCATCTCCAAATTCTGCTATCAGATATTTTTTGAATCTCCCCAGCCCTGCGTGAGCTTCAAATTGTCCAAGTTTTATGTCATCTCTTTTAATCCAATGCAAAACAGTAGTCGAATGTTAATTTGGTGGATATTGATGTTCAAGGAATTTTTCACAGTCACAAGCAATCTGCTTCCCAGTACCGCGGCTTGCAATTCCAGTCTTGGAATGCAAATCGCCTTGATTTATGATACGTGTAACTCTATCCTTTGAGCTTCAGGAATATGGAATGAATAAAATCGGGGAATTCTTAGATCTGCAACTAATTCAAGATCATTCTTCCAAAATTTCCATACCTTAAAAAGTTCTTTATCTATGCTGTCATCACAACCGATGCCACTGCGCCAAATGTCTTGTATAAGTATTCTGCCCCGAATTGACAAATTGACTACCAAACCTAAAGGGCACAAAGGGTCAAAAACTGACATGACAATTTTTAGAACTTGCCTCTTAGTCGGTCGGCAAGTTTAATAAATTTCTGTGTGAACAGTGTTAATTCTGAAACAAAACGTATCCATTTTAGAATCCCAATAAAGTCCCAGAACTCTCTGGATCGAAGAATTGTCCATGTTTAAGTCTTTACATATTTCAGAATTTTCTGATAGTATTTTCATAACCTTGTCTGAATTGGAAAACTAGTTTGTTAATTCAAAACCTCCCAATTTTTGTACTTTTTTAACCATCTCAATTCTCTGTACAGCCCTTTCTTCAGTGTCGCCAGAATCCAAATAATCGTCTACGTAATGTTTTTGGATGATTGCATCAAGAATTTCTGGATCGTCTGTAAGGTCTTTGGCATTAAGATTTTTCACAAACTGAGCACATACGGGTGAACAAATTGCACCAAAAATCATTACTTGCATTTAGAAGGTTTTATATGGCGATTTAGAGTCAGATCCCCACAAAAATCTTTGTGATGCCTGGTCTTCTTTTTTTATGCGAACTTGGTGAAACATCTCTCTAACATCATCACAAAAGGCTATTTTGCTTTGGCGAAATTTCATAACTACCTCCACCAGAGGCTGCAAAAGGTCAAGACCAGGAAACAGGCTATCATTTAGACTCATTCCATTGAATTTAGCAGCAGCGTCAAATACTAATCAAAGTTTGTTTGCCTTGTTTGGATTAAATACTGGGAAATCTGGTAAATACCAACATCTTGGGTATTCAATTTTGGCCTCTTTGTCTGTCAACTCTCTAGCATATCCTTTTTCAACGTAGCTTTTAATTTGGTTACCATATTTCAGTCCCAGGGTAGGGTCCTTTTCTAATTTCCTTTCTATGCAGTTAAGTCTTCGGATCGCTGCTGACTTACATGCAGGCAAATTTAAAATGTCGGCTTTCCATAAGAGTCCAATTTCATATCTGTTGTCAACTTGTCATGCTGTCTCCGTCATAATGTCCAGTGCTCTCTTCTCTTTCATGTTAACTGAGGATACGTTGGAAACTCCAAAAGCGTCGGTCGAAAATGAATGTCTTACTAGTTGATGTAATTCTTCGTCGTATATTTCATGTTCACAAATATGAAAGGAAAAATGTGTTCTGGGTATATTTGAATGCTGATCATTGTAGTGTCCATGAAGAATCCAGCCTAACATGGTTTTAGTAGCTATAGGTAAATCAGCAGGGCCTTGAACAACTTTTCTAGGTACAGTCAATCGTATATTATCTTGGCCAATCAAAAGCAAAGGTGGATTATTTATGTCTTGAGCCTGCTAAAGTTGAAAAATGTGGCCATTGACTTTTCAAAACGTGTTGATTTGGAAGAGCAAGATTTTTCTCAGAACGGACCTTTCTTAACTTAAACTGTTTGGCCTGCTGGTAATTAGCTGATACAGGAATATCGAAACATACGGAATCTTCCTTGGTTCTTACAACTTCGTTAGTCCACTGCACGCAGAATAGTTCTCGCTTCCCCTGTACTCGTAGACTTTCAAGAAAAGACTCATCAATCAGAGTAACTGTCGATGCCACGTCACAAAGAGCTACTATTGTTACTCTAGTACCATTCGGACCATAAAGAATAACATTTACCATTCTAAGTAGAACGTTACCTTTTTCTTTGTCTTGTCTAGTAGTCAGTAGTTTTTGGCTCTGGTTAAAATTCGTATTTTCGTCATCTTGATTATCTATTTGATCTCCCCGTCTAGACTGACTGCTATGGATGTCTCTTGTTTCTTGAATCTTGTGTAGAAATTTATTGTGAGATCGTGTGCAGTTATCTACTCAACGCAAAATGTTCGAGATTTCTTGTGTGCCCTTTGTCGTTTCATTGTGTTTGGTAATTTTTGAACAGCTTCTTTAAGTACTAAAATATTTTGCAAATATGCTTCAAAGTCTAAACATTTTATTGTACTGACCAAATTACTGATGTGTGTAGAAAATCGAATAAGACCATTGGAAGCCAACAGGTGAAAAAAGTAAACTCCTACAAATATCTAGGGCAGGAAATAACGCTTAGCAAAGTCAATCAAGAGCTTGAAATTAATAGGAGAATACGACTAAGATGGGCGGCGTATGGTAAAATGCGCGGTCCAAGTGATCTTTGAAGCTGAAAAGTAAAGTCTACAACGAATGTATTCTGCCAGTAGTTGCCTATGGAAGCGAAACATGGAATCTCACAAAGAAAATCCTAAATAAGGTATTACACTAAGAAATCACAAAACCAACGAGTGGATAAGCAATACAACAAAGGTCGAAGACATAACACATATGTATAGACATAGCATATGCACCCTCAAATGGAACTGGGCCGGCGGTCACGTAGCGAAAAACATAAGGTCTGTTCCAACACAGCAGGAAACCGTAGAATTCTGCGCAAAGCGGAAAATTTGTGCGTAGAAACCAAATTTCGTTCACTGAGTGGTTTCGAAACTTTTCATGAGACAGTTTTTGATGTGTTGGAACAGACCTATAATACCAATAACTGGAGCGGAAAACTAACAAGATAGAGACCCTAGGGAGAACGAAGAAGTGTCGGCAGTCCTCAACAACGCTGGTACGACGACATCAAACGAATAGCAAGACTAAACTGGAGGCCTATATCCAGAGGATAGAGAACAACTAGGAAGAAAAAGAATCTGAAAACAGAACATCAATTTCAGTTGCTTAGGGAAGAGTTTCGGGAAAAATTCACGGGAGCAGAATCGGAAAAAGATGGCATAAACAACGTTGATGAAATATTAAACGAACAAAAATTAGAAGCAGGAGAAAAACGAACACGATTATAGGATTGAATAATAATTTTCCTGAGGATGAAGAAAAATATAGAAAAATCAATAAAATAATACAAAAAAACTCTCAGACATAAAAAAAACAATAATGCAGTGATATAGAAAGAGTCGTAGTGGAAATAAAATTAATGGCACCTAAAATAGACGAGATTCCTGCTATATGTAATCTAAAAACTGAAAACGGAAAAAGGCCTAAAATATCCAAAACCAACAAAACTATGCGCGAAATAAATAGGAAATTTATTCTCTGTCAAGATTTTGAGAGCCTCGACAAGAATACAAAGACAAAATTGTTTCTCAAGACTATTTATAATTATTATATGTTATTTTTTATGTTCATATATTTATATAACCAATTAATTTCTATCACATTTTTGACGTGATAATTATGTCAAAAAAAAATTGCTTCCTTAGTAATAATAATTATTGTAAACCGCCATAAAATTTGTTGAAATGGCTTTCATATAATTTAACGTACCCATGCCGCGTATTGTAATCAAATCCGCTTCTTGACACTGCAAATTTAGAGATAAATGCATAAGAACCGTTGACGAAGTGAAAAATTGTCCTATCAACAACTCGCGGAGGAATATTCGAGGTAGGTACTTTCATTTATACCATAACACTCATAACAGTCGCTTTTGTCCTTTGGTAATTTATCAACTGATAAAAACCATGAGGAACCATTACTAACATTGATGATGGGTTCGCGCCAAAATCAATATAACCGGCTTATTGATAAGATAAAGACATTCACCTCGTGTCTAAAAATATTGTTTTAGGTGGTTAAGTAAAGTGGCTATTTGAAAAACATGAGTATTATGTGGATAATGATATATATTATTGGACAATTTAGTGAGGGGTAAGTATAAACTTGCGTTAATAATTAAACTCCAAAAAAAAATATATATATTTTTTAGTGCGTTGTGCCTTTATCAATGCACGATGAATTCTTTTGAAGTCACTTGCACAGGACTTCGAGACACCCATCTTTTACAACCCATTCTCACAATCCTTAACAAAACTGACGTTACAAGTGTGAACATTACAAATGGAAACATTAAAATAATTACTCAGGAAATGTTGAAGGAATTTATTAATTTGCAAAGCTTGTACATAACTTATTGTCGAATTGAATATTTCGATCAAGAGGCTTTTGTCTATAATCCGGATTTACAGGAGTTGAGTTTGAATAATAACGCTTTACGTGGATTTAATTTAAAGCCTCAGGAGAGCTTGAAGCGTTTGGATTTGTCTTATAATAAACTAAAGGATATTTCCGGTTTTAAAATAAGCGATTTTCCTAGATTAAATGTATTGAATTTAGAGAATAATTTGTTGACTCATCTGCCGGACAGCTTATTAGAAAAGCTCAAAGAAGAAAATAGTTTCTATCTTTTGGCCACTAATAACAATTGGAATTGCTCGCGTCCCGAGTGGTCAGAGATTTTGAATCCTAGACTGATTAATGCATTTTGTTCGATTGATAATCAATTTGAAGCATTTGAAGAAAATTCAGTGGTCAAAGAAAATACAACTAAAAATGAAACATACGAAAAACCTAATTGCCTTAAGTGCAGTTTTGTTTCTTGCATTTGGTGGTCCTTGGGTGGAATATGGTTCGGAGTTATTCTAGGAAATGTTCCAAAAATTCATTCTCTACTATTCAAGCCACCGAAAATGTATGAGAATGCATCCGTCCAGTGCGGTAGGTGTATGCACCAGAATACGCCTTTGTAATTTAAACTAATATTGTAGAAACTTAAAACACTTCTAACACGCATGATATAAGTAGTTATTGTACCCCTTGCCTAGCCTAAATTATTATTTATAATAAATGCTTCTATTAGAGGGATTTTAAAGCCAGCAAAAATAATGTGATATTTCATCTTTGATTACCCAATACTCAAATTTCCGACAAGGATAAAATAAGGCTAAAAATCTCTCCAATATTAATTTCTTGGCGTTAATGTATTTATTTATACTATACTAACAAGTGTTTTATTATTAATTTTCTGGACAGTTAGGTAAAAATCATTTCAATTATTAGTTCTAGACAATCAAGCGGTGGACCGATACATAGTGACTAGAATATTCGATGCGGAAGCTCGCAAATTAATTCTGGTTGAGGAAACTTCTTTGCCTCTATATCTTCTATAACAAGAAAGCAAAGAAGCCAGAATCAGCATTCATATAATATAAAATCTCATTTTGATATTGTAATTTAATATTTAGTATCTTATGATTTACTTACGTAATATGCAATATACAGTTTAAATATTTATTTTGAGTAAAATTAAATGACTACTCTGTATATAAGAAATCGTTATAAAAGTTGGAGGGTAATGAAAAACCAAATCACAAATAAGGACAGCGAAGGACTTGAAATGTAATTATTGATGTAATATGTTGTTAACCAAAGTTGTTAACTAACAACTTTTCCTAATACTAGTTTTCTTAGCAGTCGTATAAAAAAGATTTCAAATGAATTCTAGCAAAATAAGCAAAGTAAAATCATATTTTTCTAATATTTTTCCAAAACTTTCCTTTCCAAACCCTTTTAACGATAAAACAGAATGAGAGTTAAATAAAGATACATACATCATCCTTATGGAACGTAAATTGAACCCAAGAGCACGTCTTAGGTAGGTTTTTCTTTTTCGTTTTCGCCTATTGGAAATAGCCAATTTCTTCGAACTCTCGTTCAAGAGCCTTAGAGCCGTATAGTCGCAATTAGTGGCTAATTTTTGGTCTATACTTGACATAGAAATATCCTTAGAAATTTCCTTATCTGGGATATAGGAAATTTATTTTCACGATAATAAAATTCAAATTTATTTATTGATGTTTGAGATACCTCTCGCAAACAGGCGAATAGATTATTTTTATATAGGTAATATTATGTATGAGATTTTTAATATAAATTTTAGTGATAGGTACAGTTGTGAGATTTTGTGATCTGCAGATAGACAGATCAGTGAATTTCCATAGCTATTTCAGACTACCGATTTAATTATCGATTTCGACAAGAGCACATTATCTGTAAAGTAACTTTATTATATATAGTTTAAAAACAATTATAAAAATTAGTTGCAACTTTTGGTTCAGGTTAACCATAATTATTGAAGTGCTACATAAATTATCAAAAAAATTAACTCATTGTGAGAAAACGCCTGCGAAATAGTATGGAAATTCTTGAATAGCTGCTGAGTAGCTCCATTTGTAAAAAAAGCGGCGAAAATTCACGGCTGTGTCCCTATTACTGTGTAGGCACATAATAGAATATGCAATTTATCTCATGCAACATAAAGTGCGCATTAGTCACGCTGCTGGCTGAAAATTGCCAGTCTAAAGTATTTATACAATACAATTTTTGTTGATTTATAGCATTACGTAAGAGTGAGTTTGTAGATAAGTGAGACTACTTTTCCAAAAATTTTAATCCAGACATAATTACTTTATCACTACCCAGACACAAAGTCTTAAAGACGTCTTTTCAGGTCTGCATTGCGTTTGAACGTCTGAAGACTAAAAAAAGATGCTAGAAGACGTGCATAAGATGTCGTAAATTGACATCTTAAAGACAACTGAGCCAGACTATTTGGTACTACCGGGTCCTAAAGTGAATAATGGTTTATGTATTAGAAAGAGATTCAAATGCGTCTTTAAGACATCTCATTGGAACATCTTCAGAATGTCTTAGCCCTAAAGGCGTCTGAAAGAAGTTGGGTTTTGTAACACCGTCTTGAATGTCATTTGTGGAGATCTTGGGGACGTCTTTAAAATGTCCACAAAACTTTCCCACAGAATTAGTTTCTCATTCAATTTAGAAGTTACTGGAAACCATCTAGAAGAACACTTTAGAGCTTTGATAAGCCTTTTGGAAAGTTCAAAACACTTAAAATTCAATTCAGAATTTCTAAAAGCATTCTGCAAACATTTTGGAAATTTCAGAATCATTTTAGAATGTCTCAAAACATTCAAAAACCGATTTACAATTTCTAAAAGCATTTAAGAACAATTCAGAAGTTTGAAACCCATTTTAGGACGCTCCAAAACACTCAAACAGTCTAGAATCTCCAGAAACACCAACAGAAGCCCTTTTCAAAGGTAGGTAAGTGATCTGTGCGCACCGCGATTCAATTTTTTTTTTAAATCATACAGTCCACTACTTTTCATATTTTCCGCCACATTTTGGTCCTTCGAGCCGGATATTTAAGGTGCTTTTTACTTAAATTCTGCATAATTTAATTTTGTCTGCTTGTTCTGTGCAATTACCTATTATACAAAAATCCCATTTTAATTACATACACCATCAGGTACCTACTTTGTATATCGCCTCTACTGGAACGCATTTCTTTTATAACTCAAATCTGGTTTTATTATAGGTAATTTTTATAGGTACCTACGAGATTTGAATTCCTAGTTTTCTTCAAATAGAATTTGTCAAATATAAATCGCATTGATTTTATTATAAGTTGTGAAATTTAAAGATTGGTAGATTGCTAATTTTATATAAAATAAATTTTCATTAATATTTACTCCATAATTTAGTTGAAATTTTCTTTGGACTCTTAATCCTGTAGAGATTGGCAGAGGTTTTACGATTTACATAATTGTTTAATTCATAACAATACTGACTTATCTGACGTCGGGAAGTTTCAGTATCTGCTTACGTCCTTACAAAAGGAACCTCTTGCTTTAATTAAAGGCATACCGCTTACTGATGCCAATTACGTAATTGCGTATGAAATGTTGGAAAAACGCTATCAGAAATTGAATCCCAGAATTTTAGCCTCTCATTACTATAATTAAATCTTTCACGCTCTTCCAGTTCAAAAGGGCAATTCTAGTGAGCTCAGAAACCGTTTGAGCACTTTTTCTGAAAATGTAGCCGCGTTTAGAGTATTAAAGTTTCCTGTTGATCAGTGTGATTTTTTGTTGTTCAATCTTCTATTGAACAAGCTAGATATAAAAACTAGAACCGATTTTGAACTTGAAATTTGCTCAAATCAGAATTTACCTACTTACAGGCAACTGGTTTCATTTTTAGAGAAGCAGTGTTCAGCAATAGGATCGACTCAATACAGTAATCCATCTATTATGTTTTCTAACAATAATTTTCCTATATCAAAAATAATTCAAATTATTCTAACAAGAAAGCACCAGTCAATTTGTTAGCAACGTCACAATGTTCTAATCAGCATTTACAATTAGTGTCGTTTATGTTGATCATTTCATCCTCTGTATAAATGCCAAATATTTCTGGACAGAACTCCATAAGAAAAATTTTCTGTTGCCAAACAGCACCATTATGCGTCAACTGTTTAGTGTCGCCACATGCGCTCAAAAATTGTAGTTCTTCACATAAATGTAGAATTTGTCGGTCTGCACATCATATAACTTTACATATAAAATCCCTTCCAAGGTCTCATGTTATTTTGTTTTTAAATAATAATAATAATAATAATAATAATAATAACTTAAGACATCTGTGAAAGATGAAATATTAAATATTTCACCTTTTAAATTACCTAATGAATAACATTTGAACAATTAACGAATGAACGAATGAACTGCTTATAAATCATTCTCTCTGAAGCTAAAATGTTATAATTTTTCTTTCTTCAACATGAGACCTTGAAAGGGGTTTTCATGTTTTTTTCCTATAACTATTGGAGATAGACACATCAAACCTTATAGGCGCCGGTCACAAATTCCCCTAGCGGCAGTTTTCAAAAGAATTTGTATAATAAACAATTGGCCTTTTGACAGAAGCCCAATATAGTCTTAAGGCCGGGATAGACGTTCCGTCATGTCCATCAACTTGCTTGCGCAAACTTAAATTGAACGGCAAGACTGATTCCTTATTTGACTCCTAACTACTCAGTCTTCAGCTTCGTGGTGGATACATTTATATTTTGGAAACAAACATTTATTTCCGACTCCATTTTTTGAAATACTACACCTTTTCCATATGTATTTCAGAGATCGTCAGTTTAATTTTAGAATGCGTCAATTGAAATTCAGATTAGTAATTTGTATTTCGGAAAGCGTCAATTGTATGTCAGATTAGTTAATTTTATTTGGGAAAGAATCAATTGTATTTCAGATGAGTTTATTTTATTTCAGAAAGTGTCAATTGTATTTCAGATTACACCTTTTCCATAAGTATTTCAGAATGTATCACTTGTATTTCAGATTCATCAATTCTAGTTCAGAATGCATCAATTGTATTCCAGTTGTGTTAGTTCAATTTCAGAAAGTGTTATTTGTATTTCAACTTTGTCAGCTGTAGTTCAGAAAACATCATTTGTGTTTCAGATTGGTCAATTATATTTCAGAAAAAGTCATTTGTATTTCAGTTTGGTCACTTATATTTCATAAATCGTCATTTGGGTTTCAGATTATTTATTTGTAGATCAGAAATTGTAAATTGTATTTCAGAATTCGTCAAATGTATTTCAGATATTATCAATGTAGTGTATTAAATAAAATTTATAATGAGTCACCTATACACCTATCTTGTGTTGATTTGGGAAAATCTGCGTAGATACCTGATGATTTCTGAACTACATCTGATAATCTCTGAAATATAATTTACGTTTTCTGAACTACAATGAACTAATCTGAAATACAATTGACGCTTTCCGATATAAAACTATCTAATCTGAAATACAATTGACACTTTCTGAAATAAAATAAACTAATCTGAAATACAATTGACTATTTCTCAAATAAAATTAACTAATCTGAAATACAATTGACGCTTTCCGAATTACAATTTACTAATCTCAATTGCAATTGACGCTTTCTGAAATTAAACTGACGATCTCTGAAATACATATGGAAAAGGTGTAGTTAATTTTATATCGAAAAGCATCAATTGTATTCCAGAAATTGTCAGATGTAGTTCAGAAATTAGTAGGTATCTACACAGATTTTCCCAAATCAACACAAGATAGGTGTATAGGTGATTAAAGTGACTCATTATAAATTTTATTTAATACATTACATTGATAATATCTGAAATACATTTGACGAATTCTGAAATACAATTTTCAATTTCTGATCTACAAATAAATAATCTGAAACCCAAATGACGATTTCTGAAATACAAGTGACCAAACTGAAATACAAATGACTTTTTCTGAAATACAACTGACCAATCTGAAACACAAATGATGTTTTCTGAACTACAACTGACAAAGTTGAAATACAAATAACACTTTCTGAAATTAAACTTACACAACTGGAATACAATT